TAAAGTAATGAGTCACTTTTTAATACCTTTAACTGATCTTATGGTAGCTGCTAATGGCTATGATGTATTTACAATTGGTGGCACTACTTATGGTAATTATTTAAGAAGATATCATGCATTCCTAAAAAAGAAAATGATGAAAGATTGACACTATTATTATTATTAGTTTAGTATATTAGGGTTTTAAGAACAAATAAAAAAAAATTTTACTAAATTCAATTCATCATATTCTTAATAATGTATAACGTATTTAATTAACATTAAAAAGGAGAAATGTAAAGATTACGAAAATGATTGCGTTGTGTGTACGTAATGTAACTTAACGTTAACGTTAATGTTGATATTAATATTAATATGTAATGTTTCTAAATGAATAGAAGTTTATTTATAAGATGTGATCAAAAGGAAGCTTGACTTGGTTGGCTTAGCTTAGCTATTGACCCATTATTTTTCATTGCGACAATGGTTATTCATACTCGTTATGAAATATTCATGTTCGTTCATACTGACTAGACCAATTTATTTATCCTAAAATGGCTAATTGAATTATTATGCTCAAGCTATCGTTAAAGTCTTTTAGAAATTATTTTTACTCAACCAAAAATAAATAAAATAATATAAAGTATCAAAAAAAAAAAAACCAGCTAAAATCATCATCATGACTTCCATTTTTTTTTTGTCCGCATGCTTTATTAAAACTGTCTCTTCCACCGAAAATTTGATAAGTGGTCTGTATAAAACAATCCCAACCACATTCAGAAAGGTTCAGTACAAAGGTTTTTTAACGATTATAACGTGGTCGATTTTGGGAAAGACACATTGATTTATTTTGTAAGTCTGTCTATATGTGTACGAGAACAGCATAGAGTATGTGCGTAATAATAATTAATGATTTTTAAAGCTTTGCAAACAACGCTCAAGGTGGAACCCCCGGGTGGTTTTTTTTTTCGGATTTTCCTCATTCAATCAATTACCATTAATGGCGATGATAATGAACAGAAGATATGGAGAGTATTTGATCCTCTTTGTCATTTTCGGGCCCAGCTACGTCGCACACGGAGGATGGAGAAAAAAATAAATTCAAGATCAAAAACATAGAAACGAAGTTATTCATAACGTATCAAAAATGTAAATAATAATAATAACAGATACAAATTTTTGTCGAATAATATCAAAACCTCAATCCTTTCTGTCCCCGGAAAGCTCAGAATTAGCACCGGAAACAAATTCCACCTTACCTCGAAAGATGTGGACTGGAATGTTGTCGGCCGAAAAGAAAGACAATAATAATAAGAATTATACTAACAGCAATCCCATTACCACGAAGAGTACCGGAGAGAGATGTTGAAAGAAATGTACTGTTTTTTCGTATGTTATTTTTTATAGGGCATATTAATATTGAGATAGGTTTTTTGGCAAAGTAGTGTATTATGATAGAAAGTTCTTTTTTTAGATCTAATTTTCTTTTAAGACGTCTGCTGGTGCTTGTTAGTCCACCATCCATTGCTTTAAGTTGAGCCATCAAAAATATGTCTTGTAAGAGTTTGAAAAGATTCCCTTAATTCTGCAAAATTTTCCTTGGGAATTCTTGAAGAGCAACCACAATTACATCCTTTTTCTAAAAAATCAATTGCTTTTTGATATTCATTAGAACCATTGTATTTATCACTTTTCATATACCTATAACCCTATATATAATTTTATGTTGAATTTGTAGTTTTATTTCAATTGATCTGCTTCCACTAAGATTTAAGAAAGGCAGGAAAAAATTCTCACACCGTGTATGTATATAGTTTACATAATAATCATCATGATAATGTTTTTCAATTGAAACATTCATAGACATGATTAACAAACCAAATAAATATCAAATTTTTTGATAAAAAAAAGAAAAGCTAAAATCTATTAAAATTTAACATCTTTATCATTTATAATGCATTTTACAATACATATTGTATATTCATGTATTATTTCTTGGGGGGTTGTAAAATAAAGTCTCTTGCAATCCATATTTCTTTCAGAGATGATTTTATATGTAAAGTAACCCAAATATGTCATTCATTTTTTAACAAGTGGTTTTGAACTTTATTGCATATAATTAATTGACTGCAAATGAATAAAAATAAAAATACAAATAACCAATTGTTTTTTATGCCCTTCATATAATTTGCCCCATTAGTCCCAAAAGTTCATTTTTTACTATGTGCTCATCGTGTATACTTTTGATTCTTCCTCCTGCAATAACATCATTGTGCCATCCAATTTCTGTATTTAAAAGCATTAGATAAGTTGCCTCTCCCTCTTTACCTGCCCAATCAAAGTCTATAAATTTCATCTGGTTATTGTTTCCTATCATAATATTAGGACTTCTTAGATCTCCATGCACAAAGCCACTACTATGTAACAGCTTCACAGATTCTATGACTGCATTACTAACTTCACGATCAATTCCACCACTCTGTGCAAGACCAAAGAGTGTAGTATAATTTTTCAAATGCCAACAATTTTGGCACTATCCCTATTTAGTGACAATAAGAATGGCATATGTCAGAATAACTATTTGTAAATTTTATAGCAACCCTATAAGGTCTCTCAGGCTCATCATCTACATATGCCTCAAAGATAAGATGTTTTCTTATCCTTTCGGTATTTTATATGATGAAGTTTCTTCATTGTTGTCAATTGGATTATTAATTATCAAATGATCACTTTTGTTATTATCAATTCTGAAATAAAAATAATCATAAATTAATTTAAGAATGCAAAAATGCAACATATGAATGAATAAATTTTTTACTTGTAAAATTGATTTTTCTTTTCCGTGAAATATTCAATTACTAAAATAAAATATAAAACTTATTAATTAATACAGTTTAATAGGCTAAAATAAAAAAGGTAGTACATACATATGAATACTCACAGTAAATTGCTGATGTAGATTTTTCTTTGGGAATTTCAATTCCAAAATTTCTGTGAAAATTATATATAGAATTATTAAAAAAAAAATTTCATATATTTATTTAATATTTAATTGACGCTAACCTATGCAATTATTAGAAAGACTAGTAGATGCCTCATCTTCACATAAATCGTAAGCAACCAAAACAGAATTAAAATGTTTTCCGGAAAGTGAATTTGGATCTTTTGATGCAACTCCTTGTCTTTTTAAGTCATCATGTTTATAAACAACATTGCTGCGATTTATTTTAGCATAAAAGTGAGTTCCACTTGATAATGTACTAAAAGCCCTTGCTGTTAAATTATATATGATTGAACCTATTCCGTCATTATTATAATTGAGGTTTAAAGGAAAATCTAAATGCTCAGATGAATTATAACTATTCATATCTCCAGTGACCTTGAATATTAACAAAGTTGGCCATGATATAATAAGCTCTTCATCACACTTCCACATCCTTAGCCCAAGTACACAAAAATGAGAAATTATATTCAATGACCTTCTCTTCTCCAAAATCACGTTATAAAACCATAAAGTCAATGATCCAAATTCATAATCATTTTTCCATCCTTCATCTATAACATAATGGCGGATCAATTCTCTTGCCTCAGAAAGTGGTTTTTTGTAGCTTCTGGTTGATTACGAATTGTGAAGCTTTCTTTTCTCTTAACCTATATATATTATATATTAATAACATCTTCATCAGATCATGCTAATGTCACTAATAAATAAAGTAAATAAATTTTATTTATATTACTTGAGCGATGTTTTTTACTTATATGGTTGGCCCTATTGCTTGCGTCACGCGCTCAAATTTCGATTTCGTGATTCGTTCAAAAATGTTTTCAAAAAAGATCTTCACGTGATTTGGTTAAAAAAATTTTTCTTCCTGCCAAATTCAGATATGATTGTCTAAATTCGCAACGATAACGAAAACTGGACTAAATTCCTCATGAGTAAAGTACATGTTTTAAAAAAGAATAGAACTCTACAACAAATAATTTTTTGAGAAAATCTCTCTATTACATTAAAACTAAAGACCTATTCTATCAACTAATAGAGCTATTTTTTAAAAATGTGGGACAGAAAATGATTTCTATACTTTTAAAATTTGCACAAAATTTAGGAGATCTTTAGACCAAGCCAAGTATAAAAGTGGAAGATTTTTTCTAGTTACGCGCACATTTTCTGGTTATGCGTACAGTCTTTGTGTCCAACTAAAGTGGAACATTTTGGAATTATTATCTTATCACTATATATTATTACCTTTTGAAATTTTATAACTAATTGCATTTAAATAGTAATAGACTACTTAAATTTTAAGCATTTCTATTTATAGTGTTGCTATGATGGTTCATCAATTAATAATAATATTAAAATTCTAAATAAATTAATAATCTTATAATAATTATAAATCAGTCACTTATAATTAAAAGCAAAATTTTTCTAACACAACCTTCCAAGTGGTTATAAGCGACTTTATAGGGAATAATTTGGCAAAGCTATTGCTGCAGAATTTGCTTTAATCTGCATACTAGTTGAGCGATAATCTTAAAATAAGTGTGAAGAAAAGAAACACTTCTAATAACCAGTATTTAAGCTAGCTGTTTCTTTTAATTGTTGTTAAAAAGTCTTAGTCAGACTCTAAAAATTTTATTATGGTTGAAAATCGCTTGCTATACGAAAAACGGAGAATTTTGTTTTTTTTTGAAGTGAACGATGATAATTTGTTTGTGTAATGTTTATATTAATATTGAATGTATTTCGTGCAAAAAATATACGTTATATATGACGAAAAAAATTTTTTTAATTTTTTTACCTTTATTTCCTATCGCTATGTACCAAAAAAAATTCACCAATTTTATTAAAGGTATTGCTTATTTATTTATTTTTTCCCGTATTTCGTAACCCATAATTCATAATTAATAATTTATATTGCATAACGCTTGGATTTTTTGGAGAGTTTGAGAGCAAAATCAGGAAGTAAAACATTGTAATGATCAATCGCCTTTAAAAACTATCAAGTATGTAAAAATGTTATTATTTTTTTGTTATTGTAATAACAATCATTGTTGTAATAAATAAATTTAAAGAAACGACACCAAGTCGCTCCAAACGAATACCATTCTATGGTAAAACGAGGGTAACTGTGCATTGTAAATAATTTAAATTTTTTAAATTAATAAATGTCACAACAAGATTACATTGTTAAAAAAAAAAAAAGAAAATTTTTCAAATAACATTTCTATGCATGCATGAAAAAAAAATTTATACATATTATATATAAACATTAACATTATTATTAATATTGACATCAAACTTAAAGCAAATTTTTAAATAAAAACAAAACAAAGAACATCCTTTTTGCATTACAAATAAAAAAAATTATTGTATTACATACACAATTATTAACTATAAGCATTGCATTATGTTGTTTACTTAGAAGAGTACAATTTTTGACAGTCAGTACACTGTGCGACGAAGCAAAAAAAATTAGATATCCCATTACTATACGTACAATTTTTTTCATGACAATTGGTAATTGCTAGTTCAATCAAAATGAAAAGGAAGACAACTCTTCCAGCTGATCAAGTCAAACCCAATAAAAGAAAAGCATTGACTGCTTTACAAAAAAAAAAGAAAAATTGTATTAAGAAAAGCAAAAAACATAAACCATCTAATGTTGAATTATCCAAATTTTATAAATGTGGTAAGTCGACCATTACTGACATACTCAAAGCCAAAGATAAATGGCTAGCTGTAAATTCAAGCTACTAGTTATCGAGAACGATATGAGGAATTAGAAAAGGTCATGACAATTTGGGTAGATAAAGGTTGGAATCGACTAAAATAGTCGACTAAACTTTTTTTTGAACAACTAATAGTCGACTATTTTAATCAATTATTTAGTCGACTACTAATATTATGCTAATAATATTATTGTCTGACCAATTACAATTTTTGCGTTTTATCATTCAAAATGGAAAATTTCTTCGTTAGTTCATTGGCTTTGAGTTACAATGATTTAAGCGGTGATTCCAGAAGACCTTTAAAAAAACAAATCATAACGCATGGTTTTGTGTGGAAGCATTTTGAAAAAAGTGAAAGATTCAAATGGAAATGAATTTGTAATTTGCAAATTAAATATTATTATTAAAATTTAGTCGACTAATTAGTTGACTAAAATAGTCAACTAAAATAGTCAACTAAAATAGTCAACTAAAATAATCAACTAATAGTCGACTAAAGAAATTTTTGACCAACTGGTAGTCGACTAAGGATTTTTGAACGATTCCAATCTCTGTGGGTAGACAATGCTTTACAAGATCTTTCTGGTACTTACCGCTGTCCAGAAAAAACCTTTTTTTTTTCTGAAAAATTAGGCATGACTGATTTCAAAGGTTCAAATGGGTTGGATGGAAATATGACTATTTTAAACCTATATTTTATAATAAATAATTATATTCAATTTTTTTCTATAATGAAATTTGCCAATAAATTCGGTATACGTGTAAACCAAAATCTCCCTATAACGAACATGACGTTCGTTGTATAGAAGTTTTACTGTTCAATAATAGGTTCGAGTTTGATGTTACATAAATCTTTTTTAGATAACAAATGATTAACAAATAAGTTAAATAATCGAAGAAATTAATTGCTTATAATTGACCAAGCTTCTAGTTTTTCTTAAATTAAAAATTGGCTGAGCCTTAGCATTTTTTTAATTTTGTTATGCCGAGTAGATTTCGTAACAATTTTTTTTATTTCGTGTGTATATAGCACAAAATTTATTATTGCAACCAATAATAGTAAAACAATAATGAATTTCGAGATATTAAATGGCGGGCGTTTTTAATTTAACATTTGAAAAAAAAAAATTAAATCATTATTACCTGTTTACTTTATTAGTATTAGTTTATCTTATTTATTTGATTTAGTTTGTCATAAAGCTATTAATGATTTCTAAATTCAAAAGTTATACATATCTAAATTTTGGCTCGTTCGAAGTTCAGTTAATATTAATATTGATTATTATTAATTATTATTATCTGGAATATGGTTTCTGAAAGAAATGACAGACGTTATCTTCTTCTTTTACTGATCTTTCTAACAAATATGCCTTAAAAATTTTGCCCTAGTTCAAATATAATTATTATTGTAAAAAAATTTTCCCGATCTCATGTCTTTATGTCAGTTTCTTTCAATCAAGAATTATGTTCAATTAAAAAATTAAAGAAGGCATTTATTTATTTACACATAATTCTAATATATAGAAAAAATAAACATTGTTTTGAAAACATAATAACATAATTAATATAAATAATAATTAAAACCTTTTTTTTCGTCACGAGAATTCAATCAATAATTTTTTTTTTTGAAAAGAAAATGTCTTCGTTAACCCCACTATTAAATTCTGAAAAATATTACGATTGTGACATCAACACTAACGTTAACACCGAGTTTGACGACATAGATAACCGTGACCATTCACTTAATAAAAATAAAAAAATAAAAAAATTATATATTTTATATATTTTATTAATAATTTTTTCACTTTTTATTTTATTCATTTCAATAAATATGTTCGTATTCTCACCACCACCATCATCATCAACCAACAATGAGAACTCCACCAATATCGATAATTATAATAATACAACAGTTGATAATATAAATGGAACTGATTATAATGACAACGGTTTAAATGACAATGATGGAAGTGAAAAATATATAACATTTGTACCTCATAGTGGATTACATAATCAAAGAATAGGATTAGAAAATGCAATATTTATTGCTTGGTTCCTAAATAGAACATTGATTGTACCACCCGC